TCAAAATAATAAATTTAAGTTTTATGTAATAGATTTTATATAATATATATAATCATTATTTTATACACCGAATAGAAAATAAACTACTAATTTGTTTTTGCAACATTATAATATATCACGTCTTATTTACTTGAGGCAGTGGTAAAGTATCAAATTTAATAAATGTCTTACACTTTTTTAAATATCTTCATAAAATGAAACAACCACAATGTAATTTTATCATCTTGAAGCTAATGTTTTGAATTCTTGATATTAAATTTTTTATCTACTGTTTGTAATTCGCAAAATCAAACAAATTCGTATCAAAACAATTTCACGTGTTTGTTTTGAAAAGGCTACAATATCAGTCTTTAACCAAAATAAAATGTATGACGAATGTCGATTAAAATGCGATATTGCCAGTTCAGTATTAAATAAACGATTTGTCATGGATTCAAGGAATGTTATCGCTTTATTGTATTATTAAACTTTTAGAAATTTCAAAACAAACGAATTAATAATAATAATATTATTATTGCTGGGGACTATAAATATGCGCATGCGAAATATGAAATTTCTTATTTCGTATCTCGGATAAAAAGATAATACTGTTCAATACAATTTTATTCCAATATATAGGTTAATCAAATATAGATAGGACAACCGTTGGGTCGTTTTGTACAATAGCTAGATAGTTATAAATTTCATCTCAATAGTTCAAAGGACTCTTAAATTCTGATTGCTATTGCTGAATATATCTATGGCCTAATAGAATAATATATTTTATTGATTTTCTAAAAGAGAAGTTCACTTTTTTTCAGAAAATGTGACTTGCTATTTTTCATATTAATTATGCACTTTGGCAAATTTTTTCCATATTATGTTTTTTAATTAATTTATTAATTTAATTGTTTTAGAAACGTAACAAAAATCACTTTACTGTTACCATTTAACATTTCAATGCAGATATATATCTTTTCATTTGAAATGGAATAGATTTTCCTTTTTGAGTAATTTTTTTTTGTTTCACTAGTATAGTGCACTACACGTTTCCCATAAAATGCAGTTTTATAGTGTGGCAGCCGCTTTACGGCGTCTGTGCAAGTCGCAGCAAGTTTTATAACGACATTAATATTGATTTTTCTTTTATGACTCACATGCAGAAATTCATTTTAATATCCTTGATAGAAGGGGGTCTTGCACGTGACGCGGAATTGGAACAACCCTCCGGTCAAGTTGAAGCCGTTAAATTATATAAATGGGGTCGCTAGAGAACGCTGAACTATATGAAGAAATAACTTGTTGGAATGAAGTTATATAAATTTAACAAAATTTGCTAATGAATATAAATAAGTAAAACTAAGAAATGTAGTTAAATTTACTATTTGTAACTTTTTTATATTAAATATTTTTTGCAAGTACGGCACTGTTTGCTTGAAGTAGCGTTATTTTATAATACCTTAGTCTTTTGTGATACAATGTACGTCAAACTAGTTCCTTCTTATATCATATAAAAACACATTTAAAACCAAAAATTATTTTGTAGAACAATGTGATGACTTTTTTATTTTATTTTTATTAACTTCCCGTAGGATTAATCGCAAAAAATCGAAAATGAAAATTTGTATATATTTACGTTTCAAAGGTTTCTAATCGTCGACAATATTTTGGCATACATTAGAAAAAATGGATGTGTGTATGTATGTAGAAGTGTGTGTGTGCGGACACAAATTTTTGTCGACGATTTTGGGAATGCCGATGAAAAGATTTGAATAATTCAAAAAACGTTCGATTCGTATTGATAAGGAAAAGTGCTGATTAGTTTTTTGCAAAGGCAGGTCTAGCCGTTTCTAAGATACGGGCAAAAGGTGTCAAAAACGGTAACACAGTTTTTAAGAGAACGGAGCGTGATTTTAATAATTCAAAAACCATTTTACTAGATTGACAAGATGAAAAACTGACTAAATTATTGGGAAGGCGGGATCAGTGGTCATGGACTCTCAATAAAAATAAGTTAAAAAAAATTTGGCGGTCTAAAATATTTATTGGACTTATGTACATCATATTATCAGATATTTTATAGAGATTTTAATAATGTGTACAGATTTTGTTTAAATTTTTTTGGGTTCCGTGCCAAAATTTTTTATTACGGTGCGGGAAGTTTCAGCAATTTGCCTTAAGGCTCGATGCCATGCACCCCACTTGTTTATTAAAACTATCATAATAAGTGCTTCGCCTAAGCCTGGAGATTAGAGCCTTGATCTTCCAACCAGAAAGTTTCAGATTCATTACCCACCTTGCTTTTATTCTAAAATATAGATATAGTTTAAAAGAAAAATTACAGACCTGCCTAGACATGATTTTTAATTCGATGCATATAGAACTACATTGCAATCTAGTGCAAAAATCATTCAGTATTAAATAAATTCTAATGATCAAATCTAGTTGGGCTATATGGTTAAGATCTTTAGCAGCTCTTAGAATTGTAAAAAAGAAAAAATCAAAAGTATATTAACAATCTATAATTGACGAAAAATCATATCGATAATATAAATGAAAATGTTGTATAGTAATTAATAGTACGGTTATTAATCACTAATTTGCTAATGTATGAAAAATCTAGTGGCGGTAAAAAGACACATATATAGTCCTAATTGCTGTTCAAATAAAAAAATATTATAAAAATTAAAATATATTAATATTCCATGATAAACAGTGAAGCCAAACGATAATAAAAATAAAAAAGTGTGTATAGTAATTATTACGATATTAATCACTAATTTTCAAATTTATGGAAGATCTCGTGATAGTAAAAAGACGCATGTAAATTACTGTTCAAAACCAAACAACAAAAATAAAAATCAAAATATATTGTTGAAAAATTTTGTATTTTTTTTCTAAATTTAACCCACGTTTAAGTTATTTCTCTGCGTATTATTCTATAATTGACTATTAAAATTACCGCATATGTTCTTTATAACGTCATACCGTTTTTCGACTTGTAGTCAATTAGCATAAAATTATAACACAGTACATATAATTTGCTAATCGCGTTTTGTTTCAATAATTGACCCAAGCACGTAGAAAGGTATCGGATATCTAGAACAACCGTAATATAATTTGATGATCAATTCTAATTTTTTTATTTTGTTTGATTTGTTTTCAGTTCAGATTGTCACGCATCGCGGATCACCTTAATTTTTTGACATTAAGTGAACAATGTTCATAGAAATGACGACAGGACAATTTTGTTCTTGGGATCAAACGAACGAAGTCTCTAATTAACGGTGCTTTTTGTGTAGGAAGCTGATCAATTTAGTGTTTTGATGAATCACGAATTTTGTCCATGACAATAAAAATTGGTTTTGTGTGAAATAATGCAGTTATTTCAATTCTATGATCACCCAGAAACACGGTTTATTGAATATAGTGTAAATACTGAAACAATTTGACTGTATAAAATTATTCAAGCGTTTCAAAAAAATTTATTTAAATTTTATTGTAATCTCGACATTTCATGTCATTCTGAATCTTAACCATACAAGGCGCCTAGTGGAATATGTGGAACACCAATCTCAATCGTTCCTATAGCCATAAAACTATGATTAGCGATATGTCTTGAGATCTTTATGGATGCTACTAACATTTAACAATGTAATAATACAAATATTTACCAAAGGGTTTATCTTCATTTTTATAAGTTTTCCTTATCTTCTGAAAACCAGTTACAAACAATATATTTTAATATGTTACATATTAAAGAAAAACTGAGCCTTGTAGGGTTAAAATCGTTGAAATTTTTTTGGGCGGTTTTAATGAAACCGTAGTAAACGGTTCTAATAAAACGATCCATCTAAAATATGGGCCTGGAGAAGTGGTTTTCCTATAGAAATTTACTAATAGGTCAGGTTCTTAAAACCAAATTATAATAAACATATGTCACTATTGAATGATGAACATATATCAATTGACTTATTGTTGTTTTATAATTTATTGCCATCGACTCACTGTTAAATATTATGAGTTTTTTATTTCACCATAGCAAATTACTTCAATACTCAGTCTATATTTGTAATGTTCGATGTATTTATAGCTTTTACTCTAAATTTCTGGAATTATGACTACATTGCGAAAGCTTTAATCTTTGCAGACACTTAACATGCATTTTCGTTAACACCGATTTTGATAGTTGATGAAAAATAATATGAAGAGTTAATTTTCACTTGCCTCATAAATAATTCCAGCTTTCCGGTTTTATACATCCTTAATTTAATGTCCAGCGATAAACTGTGATATTACACAATTTTTTCGTTAACATGGCAAGCACGAAAATATATAACATCTCAGAGGCAAAATTTATTATAGAAACAGCAGAACATTCATTTAGATACTCTCGGAGATCTCGAGATATATTCTTAAACGCGCATTCCGACTAATTAAAAGTTTTTTGTTCCTTGTTCTGTGAGCAATTTAGTAGAACTTGAAAATGAATAATATGAATTACTTGGACAGCGTGTCTTTTCGTGATAGTTTTATTATCAAAGTAAGTCGTTTTGCCTGATTGGTTAAGTAAGTCCCAAGGTTTGGAGTAAGTCCTTGGTTCATGGGAGTGTTTTACTTGTGTGTAGGATATTAAAAACTTAATTGCTCTACATTGTCTTTGTCACAATTACGATTGTTACAAAATCTGTAGGATATATATATATATATATATATATATATATATATATATATATATATAACGCTTATTAAATCGAGGTCGATATTGGAAAAAATTCTGTTAAATACAGAAATCTGTTATGCTTAGTTCTTTGTGTAGAGTTCGATTTCAAAACAATTCGCACATGACTGATTTTACATGTTGTATCATAACTATTAAGCAAATGTTGAGCTGTATTATATACAATTTTATATAAATTATCACGTATTGTATAGAACTAAAAGGATTGTTGGTTTTATAACACTCCACAGCCGCTGATCTTAATCGAATAATATTTATTACTTTACAGTTAAAACGATTCTCTCCATGGTACAAGAAATAGTATTTTCGGCCAATGGCTGGTTCAGATTTATTTTCACGAAAAATTTTCGTGATAATATTAGCCCTTTTATGCTCGGCACGAGCTATGAGTATGATCGACAATCATAGGTAAATCTTACACTACTTCTCTTCTAAATATAAATACATATATATATATATATATATATATATATATATATTATAAATTAGAATTTTGTTCTTTCTTTATTTTTATTAACTTCCCGTAGGGTAAGTTATAGTAATCGCAAAAAAATCGAAAATGAAAATTTTTGCATTTCTCGACGTTTCAAAACCTTCTGAACATTTTGGCATACCTTAGAAAAAATGGATGTATGTGTGTGTGTGTGTGTGTGTGTGTATGTATGTATGTATGTATGTATGTATGTATGTATGTGTGTGTATGTATGTGCGGATACAAATTTTCGTCGACGATTTCGGGAACACGGATCAACCGATTTGAATAATTCAAAAAACATTCGATTCGTATTGATAAGGAGACGTGCTGATTAGTTTTTGGCAAAGGCAGGTCTAGCCGTTCCGAAGATACGGGGCAAAAAGTGCCAAAAACGGTACCTCCGTTTTTAAGAGAACGGAGCGTCCGATTTGAATAATTCAAAAAGCATTTTACTTGTATTGACAAGATGTAGAATTGATCAAATTTTTATGGAGGCAGGTCTAGCGGTTTCGGAGATCTAATGCAAAAAGTAAAAAAAAATGCCATTCGGCGGTTAAAAATGATCATTAGACATATGCACATCAAATTATCAGATATTTTATAGAGATTTTAACAATAAGTATATTTTTTTTCACATTTCTATGGGTTCCGTACCAATGCTAATCGTTAGACGGCGGCGCGCCACTTGCGAGCTTTGACATTTCGTCTCAATGCAGTTCAAGCAGTGCGATTGCTTTGAAAAAAAGTTCAGAATTTCCAAAATATGTCAAATAAAAAAAAACATTTATTTCAAAAAAATTTTTTGTTTTCAAAAAAAAATTTTTTTCTCAAAAAAAAATTTTTTTTTTCAAAGAAAAAAATTTTTTTTCCACAAAAAAGTAATTTCTTGTCAAATTTGTAGTTCCTCAAATCTATTTTTTTTCGAAGTAAATTTTTTTCAAAAATGTTAATCGTTTTTAAAAAAATAATAATTTTTGGTACGGGAAGTTCCAGCAATTTGCCTTAAGGCACGATGCCCTAATTGCCTTAAGACAGAATTCCACTTACAGCTAGTTAATAATATGTTTGTCCAAATTCAAGCTTGGAAGAGAAACAAATCGAGGAATATTACCTAGATCATGAAGTATCAGAAATGGAAGCTTTTGCCGCAGCAAGAAGTGCTGATATAAGTATGTATTATATTTATATATTTATTTATATATTATTGTAACTGAAAAAATAAAGCAAACATTATAGCTAACTATAGTTTACATTTTCAATATCCATGCATTCGTCAAATCTCCAATAACGTAGCAAAAAGATTTGACTTACACTAACATAGTACCTAGTGATATTAACATTTATTAATTAGATCAATTAGTTAAAAATATTTATTCATATAGAGTTTCTGAACTGTTAATTGCTACTGACATAGTCTCGATGATTCTTAAAGAAATAGGTCAAATATTTTAGTACGCAGTTACTCCAAAATTACATGCGGATATTTATTAAGAGTACTATATCCATTAAAATAAATTTATATAACATGGTTTTATCTATAATTTTTTTGCACTCACTTAATAATTTTAGTTGCATTTAATGAAATCAGTACATTGTAATTTTTTGTTTTATTTTGATCAGAAATGTAAAAATATGTAATAATTATTAGTATTAAGTTATTAATAAAATATTATTTTTCAAGACGAAAGTCCAGTTGGTTGCAAGACTTGTACTGTTGATCAATTAATGTACTGTTTCGGTAATGGATTACTGAATGACCATTGTTGCTGCGATAAACGCTATGAAGGTGAATATTTTATTTTTTATATATAATTGCAAGGTTATGAATTCATAACAATATGCACTTATGTATACATTAATGATATTAAGCATAAAGTCAGTTTTTTAAGCAAGCTTATTGTGTTACTGGTCCAGTCATTCTTATATTAAAGCGAAGCTGCATCAACAGAATTAATGATAATCTGTAACAGAATTACTTTCGATCGTTATATATAAGTATGAATGAATAAGATATATAGAATAACTTAAATTTATATGAGCATGTACCAATCAAAATATTTCAGTTTCATTTCTCACCCAATATTTCTGACCTATCTCGATAAATTTGATAACTCACTTGGCATTGCGCCCAGCTCGATATAGGTGTGCGATATGTATCAAAATACTATTCAAATAATGATTTATGAATATGCATTATGTCATAAATAATTCAGTACTTTGGGCAAGGTTCTCATCAACATTTTTCGAATGAAAGAGTTCATTCATGTTTTTTTACTTCATACAAAAATTATCAGTTTTGGAACTACGTTTACGAATCTGTATGTTTGCTAACAAGGCACGTTTATCGATAGCCTATGCGATTCCTAGAATTCTGTAAAGGAAATTCAAGACGCGTCGTTTTAGTGTTCAATACTAGCCTTGAGTTCATTGATCGTTAATAATATGATTCAGAAAAAAAAACTTGAACATATTTCTAAATAATCAATTGGTCCAAGACCTTCAAGCTATTAACTTTCCATTTCCCAAAAGGGCTTAGGATCCGTAGATTGGCGGAGTTACAAAAATCGTGAAATATCACGTGGGGGGGGGGGGTTTCTTGTAAGATATCAAGTGTATTTATATTTAAAAATAATCCATAATTTTCTAAAGAAAATATCATTTTTTCTATGTACTTATTATACACGTGATGTTGGACTAAGAGGGAAAATGGAATCCAAAAATTCTTAAAAATCGATCACGTGATTAATGGACGACCTCTTAAAAGAACACACTAGCTGTATAACTTAACTTCACTAAACTTAATTTTATGTCTACTTATCATATTTTATAGAGATACATATTTTTTCTTTTACACATTTTTTATTTAGAATAAAAGTAATGCTGCTAACTTCTACTCATTGTTATTTATTTATGACTCGATTAATTTATATGTTGAAATTAAAAATACTTTACTGAAGACATGTTGAGTGGAATGATATGAAATACTTTACTTAAGACATCAATGTAGTACATCGAATTCTAGTCCCACTCAAGAAAGTTGGATTGAAAATTTACAGTCTCTTTTAATGGACATAATTATATTATATCCTGAACGCTGCTTATTTTATTAACTCTTGAATTTTATAAACAAAAGAAATGAATATTGTTTCAGACATGTCAAAACTAATAAATAAGCTTACTTTGTAATGAGAAAAATGGCCGAGCGCTTAAGTATGCTTTGATTTATTATTTTTAGAATAAATAAGTCATGATAATCCTTGACCAAAAATATTGAATATTTTTGAATAACAGAATCTGAAACCTGTAGTATATATATATAAATATATATATATATATATATATATATATATAATATATTATCACACGAGGGATACATTTCATACTGTTATAATATATCGCTCGTGGTATGCGTCATGTCTCATGTTGCATATGTAAATAATTCTTAAATTTATCAAATTTTTGTTGTAATAAATATCAAATTTACAATTTTTCGTGAATCATAAATGATGTTTTGTTTTGGCTATGCATTCTTCATTGTGACCACAAAAAAAATGTTACGTTGATACCATACATTATTGTTTTACAATGTACACGTTTGCAAATAGGATGTGTAGATCATTGATACTAACAATTGATACATTGTATATAAATATGTATAATACATATCGACTAATGTGAAGCAAAAATATTTTATATTAAAGTAAATGCATTGTTTTTTCATAAAAGAACATTAAAAATTTGCAAATTTTGCGAATTTTATTATTGTCATTACCCATGCATGATGAGTTGTCTAGATAATAACAGAGGATGTATTACGGTATAATATTTTTTCTACTTTTGCATAAATGTCCTTGACTGCAATAATAAATTACTCTAATAACCAGTACGGCACAAAATAAGCGGTTTTCAATTTCATGAACATAACTGCAGCAGAATTGAAAATTATTGTGGTGCGCTTGGTCACGAATCATGCAAATCGGGAAAAGACTCTAAATAAGGTTTAATATTTAAATAAATAGAATAGTTTTTTTAATTAAAGCAATATATAAAGATTATAAAAAAAACTTACTTGAAATTTGCAAGACTTGATGACATATGGGAAAAACTACATACCCTTAAATTAACTTCTTTGCCATTTGAAGCATCCTTGCATTCATAAGTTTTCTTCAATGATCGATCAATGACGATCAAAGTCTGTGTTTCCAGTAAATTTATCATGTTTTTTTTTAAATTTTTGAAGACTGTTCAATTTATTCGGCAAATTTTAAAATCAAAAGATCATCGCCATTGAGCTTTTTTGGCTAAGTTTAATAAAATATTCTTCGCCTGGGAAACCCTGGGAAACTTAACTATTCAAATTCTCAGATCGCCGAAATTGTCGTTTTTTTAATCCTTATTATTTTGATAATTGAGACGCTTGTAGGGCAGAGGTCGGAGCTTAGGTCTTGCAACCACACGGTTTTGAGCTTAAACCTGATATCAAGCAGTAGTAGTGATATACATTTTTCTTTAAATATAAACCTAAATATGTGTAAGGTACATAAAAATAGCCTTCCGGAAAATTGCTGCAATATATTATATCACACTTTATGAGTAGTAATTTCACCTCAAAGAAAAAGATATTTCTGATGTGTTGCAGTTGCAGTTGCTGTTCTGATACGATTTTTTATAAATTAAGCTTGTGTGAAACTTTAACTTCACACATATATGTTATTATTTAACAAACACCTATACGAAAATAGTTCTAAAATATATGTGAGTTTTATAATCAACGAATTTTTTTCAGAAACTTTGCCGTTCATACCACTTCTTGCTATTTATCGTCCAAAACATGCACTTTGCATGCGGCTAATTGCGGCGAATATCATCGGATCAAAAGGTGCTGCTGCGATTCTCCTTTGAAAAAAAATGTGAGTAGAAAATAAATTATCACCATCAGTATATAAATCAGTACTTATTTATATATCCATTTTTATTAATCGCTTTAATTATATTTATTATTATTTGGTATAAATTTTGAAATACCCTAATTTCTTTCATGGTGTATATGTTTTTCAGGGAGAGAGAATTCGATCATCAGCCAGTCCAAAAGCAGTTCCAAATAATTTATTGATGACAGCCATAGCAGCTTTAGGTGTTAAGTTATATGTTTGCATGTATATAAATTTAATATATTATTTTATGTCCAAGGCATAAATTTCGTATGTAGAGCAAATATTGTTTAGAGTTATTGTCTTTATAAAATATGCGTGAGAATTGTTGAAACCAAATGATGACAATGTTATACCAAACTGATAGAAAATGTGATAATAAATTATTATATTATACTTAATATTATAAAAGTATTTATGTATTTTCATAAAAATACAAAAATTATGTAAATGATTATAACAGTCACAAACAATGTTTTATTCATTAATAATTGATATTAGTTTAATGAGATACATTTATAAGCAACTATTTATATCTCAATGAAGTATATAATTTTTTTCTAATACCATGCAATTTAATATTACAAATAATTGTAATTTTCAAAAACTAGGGCAAAACCTGATTATCGGATTAATATATTCGCATTGATGACTGAATTCCAAAAAACTGCTCCAGGCGGTTTGTCACTTACAGTTAGAACGTTGAACTTATATATCAGACCCAGTCTGAGTTGTGGTCTGTTGATCAGTTACAATTCAACGGTCAAAAGAATCAGTAGTTTTTAACATAATTTACGTATTTAATAATTCAAAATGCAACGAATCTATATGAAATTCTTTCCAATATTACTTGTTTTCGTTATAGTTTTACTGAATAGAACGAGGTCACATGAATGGGTGGGTGAGTACACAAGATTTTGGTACTAATATGACTTGTGAAACTGTTAAGCTTTTGAACATAGAGAATAATGGACCCAAATGTTTACAAATGAAATAAAAATTTATAATTTTTACAAGTATTTTAATCTTGTTTGCTTCAATTTTGGCACATATAAACTTTTCTAAATAAAAAATACTTATTATAAAATGGTTTGCATAGACATTTCTATATTGCTTTAAAAAATATAACAAGAGAAATAAGTAGCGTGAACAACTTCCGTTAATTCATCATAAGATTAAATTATTAAAGTTTTGCATTTTTTATTGCGGCTTACCGTTAATCTGAAATTTCTTATACATATAATATATGTAAATAATAATTATTATATATATATATATATGTTGTGTATGTGTATGTGTATGTGTGTAAACATGAGGTGCCCTAAATATTCGTCATAGAACTCACAAATTTTCGTTTTAATTCGCTATTTATTATTATTTTTTATCATCAATGTATGAAGTTTCGAGAAATTTAAATTTATCAAATTTCTCTATATTAAATTTTTCATAAAATGTTAGTAACGACTTTTATAGTCGTTACTAACATTTTATTAAAATAGTATATAATGATATACTATTAATAATATAAAATAGTATATATAATAATATAGTTCTTTCTTTATTTGCAATTTTTTACTACCCATTCTAGGGTCCCCCCTCTAAACCTTGACCTCAAAGCAACGCGTTATTCTAGGTT